AAGCCCCTTTTAAAATTTGCTGTTGTACTGCCTCTGCTAATATATTTCACATAGCCTTGCCATTGCTATGGTATGATTACAGTTAGGTTGACAGGTATTCATTTAGCTATTGGTTTTAGATTAGAAACCAGTCTTTGGATTATCTTGATAGGTTGCTTGAAGTTACAAAAATTTAATTTATAATTCAAGGGAGACATAGTTTTTTACCGTTGCTTGGGAGGGGGGTGGGTGGTGGTGGTGTTTGTGGTTTAACTCACCTATATTAATGTGAAGTTTAGGGAGTAGGTGAGGAAAACCATTATAATATCTGATTTAAGAGATGCTTAACAAATAATTAGGGATTTTAAGTGATAATAACAACAACATGATATTAATTTGAGGAGGACTCGGAAAAAAATCCGAGTCCCAGATGGGATTTGAACCCACGACCCTCCGTGATCTAGTCGGATGCTCTAACAACTTGAGCTACTGGAGACTCTATGGTGAGCAAGGGCCAATTTGTGGGTCTCGACTGGAACCGCATCACGCGGCTACACAGCCAAGTAATGATAGGCACACAAGAAGTGAAGAACTCACTAACAGCATCGCGCTGTCACCTTAAAGCATATCCAAGATGCGGCCGACCAACCTCCAAAGTGAGTATATTAAAAAAATCCGAGTCCCATCTGGGACTCGGATTTTTTTTCCGAGTCCTCCTCAAATTAATATCATGTTGTTGTTTCATCTTCAATATACTCACTAAGTGATAATATTGCCTTTATTGATTTATTTTGTTTTGACTTTTGTATATATAATAATCTCTTTTTGTCTGACTGATTTTATAATTAGGTGCTTCCTTGGTTGGGAATACTCTGTAGATGATGAGAAAAATCATGCAGTGTATGATGGAGGAGGTGCTGCTTACTGGATGTCTGTAAAGATCTAGTATAATAGATTTCACAAAGAGAGTAGTGCGGTGCGGGAAGTGGAGGATGTTGGGTGGAGTGGATTCCACGGAGCAAGAAGAGACCATACGGGATACAAGAAAATTAATTAGAAGAACCAGATTCCTTTTATTTTTTATATACTGAACAAATGTGTTTTCTTTCTTGCATAACAGGTCTGACTTAGACTTGTTTACATTTAAAAACTTTGCACATTGACTTTGATTAAAAGAAACGGTTTGTTATCAATAAAATTTTCTTACACTGGTGTTTTTCTTTTACTTCTTCTTTAACTTTTTGGTCTCTTCTAGAATTTGGTTAGCCAAGCAGTCTAGCTGCCCTGCCATTAGTTGCAGTTGGGCAGCTACCCGCTTGGCCTCTATTACTGTGTTTTTAATTTCTTTTGCTTTTTGTCTTAACCTTTCTTCTTTTCCTTTCAATTCTTTCTCTTCTCTTTCAATTTCCTTTCTCCTCTCCTCAATCTCAGTGGCTGCCAGTCAGCTCCTTACTTCTATTTCTTCTTCCAGGGATAGCTGTAAAAATGAGTAACCCACCTATAATAATCTGTCTATTATTGTTAACTTATCTTACCCCCGTCTCTACGATAATAAAATATGATGAGCTCATCCTTTAAAACAAAAAGCATCCTATCTCAACAAACTGTTGAAAGCTTTGTTTCATCAGGTACGGGGAGGGGAGGTGAGGTAGGGTAAATGCAAATAAAAATAGCCTTAGGGGAATGGGGCGGGTTTCGGAGAAAAGGCCTGTTTCCATACGTTTTGACGACATTATGGTACCATTCGGCTGAGCCCTATGTGCCTTTTGTTATTTTAAGATGCCTTTTGCTTTCCCAGAAAACCATGAGATTGGGAGTCTTGCCCTATCAGCACTTGGCTAGTGTCACCAGGGGACTTCTGTAAATTATATAAATGAGTTACAGCACTTTCTCATTTCATTTGCTTGTTTTACTCATTTGATATCTTAAAATTTGAGGTACAATTTGCTCCGCACAAATAAAGATATTAATGCAAATGTATATCATCATATCTCTGGGAGTATTCCAAATGTTTCCGCCTTTTATTTGAATGGTACTCAGCTCCTCATACAGACCTGCCAACTCCTGATAAAGGAAAATCTGTAGACTCATGAAAAAAAATCGGGAGATTCTACAAAAAGTAGTGAGATTCTATTTTTTCCCGATCAAAATTAAACAACTCCTTTTCCATTAGGGGAATCAACTGTTTATTTTAATATAACCTTGCTTTAGTGTGGTCCCTTATGTAACAAATTAGATGCCGCTTTTTTTTGGATGACTTTAAGATGCCAAAAAATAGGTTATCACTGTGACGAAACATACAGCAGAGTCATTTCTTTGGGCTAAGACAACTTCATGGCTAAAATGGTCAAAGCTTATCCAGGCACAAGAATTTCCCCACAAAATTTATGTTTTCATTCAACAAGGTAATATTTCAATTTAGAATATTTCCCAGAAAACCATGAGATTGGGAGTCTTGTCGTGAGACCGTGAGAAAAGTTAAAAAATCGTGAGACTCACGGCAGAATTGTGAGAGTTGGCAGGTCTGCCTCATGTGACATTTTCTATCGAAACCTGTATGTAGTAGGAAGAAACTTTGTATTAAGTGGGCACTACAGCATTCTCTGAGGTGTCCGCTTAAATTATACAAGTTTCACTGTACATGTTTGCCTCCATTCGCACTAACTATTGATGTGGAACGATATGAAATTGCCTCATGCATAACAGATGCACATGTTTGGAGCTGTATGTAAATCTTACTAATTTTTTTTGCTATTCATGAAATATCCTTTGCTTCAACAAGATGGTACAACCTTCAAGTGTTAAAAAAATATATATTCCTGGTGTAATTATTATAGATACATAGTTTTGAGGGAAGTCTTTGGTTTCCTTTTTCTTAAAACCGAAAAATAATTGACTTAACATTGTGCCGGGGTAACCGAGTCGAGGTCATCTGTTTATATCAATATTAAGCGCACTCGAATGGACTGATCATTTTTACTGCTAAAATCTCACATTAAACATCAAGGACAATGTTTTCCACTATTGCTGATCTACCGTTCTGCCAAGTTTCGAATTTCCACACCAAACCGATTTTCTAAGACATGCGATGTTAATATGTGATCATGCAAACTTCTGCGACAAATATTCCACTTGAAAAAATTCGCTTAAACTGTTTAGACTGTTTACGAGGTAATTATCATGAGAATATAATACAATTAACTCTCCTTCTCAGAAAGAGCTGTTGCAACTATACTTTCCCTCTATCAGAAACTACTTTAAAATTTACTTACCCCGAAAAGACAGCTTGAATTGGTAATACTATTGGCATTATTGGAGATAACAGCAAAGAAATTAATACCATTGCATCAGCTTAGAGGTTACGCTGGCACACTCGAATGGACTGATCATTTTTTCTGCAAGTTTATCTCAATTAACTTCAGAGACAATGTTTTCCAATAGAAGTAACCCACCCTTATGCCAAGTTTCGATGTTCAACACCTCACCGATTTCGAGAAAATGCGATATTACTGTGCGAACATGCAAACTTTTGCGGCACATTATTACACTCGAGGAAATTGACCGAAACTGTTTACAGCTCTCATACGCGTTATTTTTCGGATTAATACACATTTCACTCACCTTTTCGGAAAGAGATGTTGGAACTGCACTATCCTACCGTGACAAAAACCATTTTGGAGCGTCAATATCCAGGAAAACCAACTTTAAAAGTAGCATTTGGAAATGACAACGGCGCCATTTTCGAAAACTCCTCGAAGTTGCGCGCTTCTCTCTTCGTGACGTCACGATGGCCAAGATCGTCCGGACAAACAAACTACCAAGTTCACCACCCCCCCCTGACTCTTAGGGCCTGTTTACATGGAGTGGGGGACCCCGGTCTAGTGGGGTTGGTTTCTTTTGTTTTCACGCTCTGGGGGACACAAAACAAAAGAAACTTACCCCACTAGACCGGGGTCCCCCACTCCATGTAAACAGGGTCTTAGTCACGTCAGTATAGCGGGTTAATTTACAGGGACAACTGCTGACCAGGCGTTAGTACTAATTCAGTTGTTATAGGTTTGTTATAAGATTTCATTTCAGAATTACATCGCCTACCCTAACTGTTTTACACTGGGGAAATATTAAATAGCAGCCCAATCCACTACGATTTTGCTGTTTACAAATATTTGAGGAACAGTTAACATTTTCAAAAAGATAGCAGGGAATGCTCTTAATATAGTTATTTTTATTAGCTACAGCACGGTTGGAAACCTGTGATGTCATCCAAAATATGGACCATTATAAACCTCTCAAGTTATAAAACAAGTTTAAAATCCATTTCTTACCATTTTCGTAAAATCCGGAATAGTGATCAGCTGTCCGAACAATTTTATCAGCCACAGGGTACTCAAGATGACTGTGCTACGGTGCTTGATAATTATCCCCAGGTCATGATAGAAATTCACCATGGTGGTAAACTCTTTCTCATTATGGATGAAGCACTTCTCCTTGGCAAGGGTCCGTAGTTCCGTTATACTCAGGTAATAATCTGGCTTGGGCTTGGAAAGTAAAGCGTTGATGACCTTCTCAAAGTGTAACCATCTAGTTAATAAAAGCAAAGAAAAAATTGCTAGCGCGCATTAAAGTAACCATGTCACAGCATACCCGTACCGAGTAAAGTACAGGGCCTCGTTGTGCGAAAGGAGGATATCTCCATCCAATGGATAAATATCTGTCCAAAATCCAGCAGATATTGCCATTAGGTTTCCTAATATTTTTCCTCTGTAATAATATATTGATTCAATATTTGAACAACCGGGAACAGAAGCATGCACACGTTCCAAAACATGACTGCTGACATGTGAAAAGCCGTGAAAATTTTTTATTAGTATTAGGTCTTTTGCATGATAGCGTCATTTTACTTCAACGACCAGAATCCTTTCGTTCTTTCTTTCATATTTAAATTTTGTAATCCCAGTGAGGTTTAAATAACAAAAGCCTTAATTTACACAAGAAAGCAAAACCCTGAAGGATTCTGGTCGTAGTAGTAAAATGATGTCATAGTGCAAGTGGCCTATTGATGGTCTTTTAAAGTTAAAATGAGATAAATATAAGATCATATGAGCTTGACTAATACAGTTGGTCATATTTGAAATGGTTTCCCTGTGCAGTTATGCAGTTTACTACAGATTTAACGGGTGTGTGACCCACTTCACTTTTACCTTTTTAAAACAATGAAATGTACACAGTGCTTTTCAGCCAATTCGAAATAAGATTATCAAACTCTTCAGGGTAGAATATTCTTTAAGGCCAGTCAAAACTGCTTTTCATGGTTAAATTGTTTCAATCAACGAGATAATCTCATTTCTTATGACCGCCAGGTGGCTGATACAGGAATCACTGAATTTTTTCTCTTGTCGCTGTAATTTTTTTTAACTAGTAAAATAAAAAACTACAATGAAGCAGCCTTAAGATGTTTTGCGGCCACGCTTTTATGTAGGGTCGCAGTCAATGAGTTACTGATGACACCTGAAATACATCACATATCAAAGAAAACTTCTTACAAGGACTGGCGGAAACAAACGCCATACCCATAAACAGCAATTTCAGTGCGTTCATAGTTCAACCCTTGACATGGAAACTATTTTTACATTTACTTTAATGGGTTCTGTTCTTGTATCACCATCACTTACCTTATAGGTATCCTCTCCCCAATGTAAGGCTCCTGTCTTAGTACTTCCATGATTTTTACTTGCAGAGCTCGGATGTCATCAATGTTTTCATCTTTTCCGAAAACCTTTTTCTGGATTTTTCTTTGAGTTAATTTTGCAGTGTTGTCAATGCTGAAGATAGGCCGCACCACATGTCCTTCATAGTCCTTACCAGCAATTGCGCTCTGGATTTCTGTTTTCATTGTTGCAATGTCTTCAAATGGTTTGTCTGCATGGGTTCCTACAATGATCACTGGGGGGCGCAAATGAGACACCTCTTTTTCTACATCATCACCGGTTTCTCTTCTCATTTGCGCGACGCTATGCACTGTGGACAACCAAGACAACAAATTCTCAAGATTTGTTTCTCCATTTGGGTTTTCCAAATGAACATTACGAGACCCTTGCCTCACACACGGCTTGGCTTTGTCATGCAATGACTTGCTGAGGTTGCACACCAGGATATATAGCGCACGTGATGTTAAAAATACAGGATGAGATGCATAATACAGGTGTTGCCCGGCAAAATCCCACAGTTCAATACTCACAACAGATTCTTCAGCCTTAAAATCTTCATCTTCTATTTCCTTTATCAACTGAACCGCTCGTTCCTTGATCTCCTCTGGAGGTGACGTAGTATCAACCAGTAATTCATGATCAGATCCTGTTAATGTGGGCTCACTAACACTGTCTTCGTTTAGATCACCAACCTGAAGCAGAGTATGAAAAAAAGAAACAGAAAATAGCTGTTGCTTCTGATTATGAAAGACTTTACATGGTTTGTTCGACTTTTGGGGGTGAAGAGGAATAATGGAGTAAGAATAACGGAATTTTTGTTGTTGTAAGAATGGAATAATGCCATTTTGTGGTGCGGAATAATGGAATAAACAGATGTTTTCAACGGAATAATTTGTTCTTTTTTTACTGAAATAATGGAATAAGGAAAATGTTCGAGCTGGAATAATGGAAAAATGAACACCTAACTATTCCTCTTCACCCTCCGATTCGATTATTCAGCCATTTAAAGTTGTTTTTGATGACAGAAAATTCTTAATAAGCTCAAACTTTGAGGCACGAATATTGGAAGCATGAGGTATCCACAACATTAATATGCTCTTGCATTTTTTAAGGAACAGTGAGTTTAAGAATGTAGAGAAATATGGTGTTTGATTGAGTCCCCCCAGCCCCTTGGCTTTGCTCCTCGCATAAAAAAGAAAACAACACAACGAAACTGTGATACAACCTGACAACTGAACAAAATAAGGGAAAGCTATGCTCAAGGCCTAATTAACACTTAAAAGCATAAATAAAGATATGGCTAAACTCACTTTGGTTTGCACACGTGCTACTGATCGACCCAAAGCCTAAGCTTACGTGCAGATAGGTACTATCATGGAAATATAACTAAATGGTTGATAGTAGTATCATTCTACACTCGGAACTAAACTTACAAGTGTAAAAACGCTGGTTAAAATTTTTAACCACCATCGGAAAACGAGCTAGAAAACGATCTTGCAGTTGTTACGTAATTTCCATACGGAGACTGTGGCAAAAGGAGGGAAGTCACTATAACCTAACTTATGAAGAAGGGGATAATCAATTTATAATAACTACTGTTAGGACGGTCTTGCAGTAAGTAAACGATGGATTCACGAAAAAACATCATTATTCAAAACCAACAAAGACAAACCTGGTTCACAAGAGAAACTTCCTCCTTTTCTCCATCAGTATCAACCTGTTTCCTATTCTTGTTATCATCACTCTGAAGTATTGCTTCACCTCTTAACTCCTCCAAGACCCAGTCACGGTAAACTGGACTATCAGTATACATCCTTTCCGCCACCAACTGTGCCACATCTTTCAAACATCCCAACAATCCTTGCTTTCTCTCATCAATAGGTTGCCAATTCCTGACTTCACCAACGTCCAACTGAAATTTTGAAGGATCCACTTCAATTCCATCAGTACTTTTTTCTTTTCGATTAAACGGTAGACCAATGAGAGACTTCTTTAAACTTGTTTTTCCTGCCCGATCCTGCCCAATAAGCAATACTCGACCACGGTAAACATTAACAGCTCCATATTTAAGAGCCCTTTGATAAGCGAGCTGTGCTTTTTCTCCGCGTGCTCCTATTTCTAAAGGAACTAGTGAAAAAAGAAACGGATGCTTATTAAAGGTTGCATAGTTCATTGGCTTCTAGTTCACTTGACGGACCTAGGAGGGTCATGGGGGGCTACATCAGTGTTTATTGTCCTTCTTGTGATCTTTCACTACGGTCTCTTTAAGTTATTAAAACAAATCTATGGTAAAAATAATTTTACTGAATTTCAAATGTGGCAGATAAAATTAAATGTTGGTTATACTGTTAAACAGTCCACCTGCTATTTTAACCTTTTTTTTTACTGCACTTACTTCAAGTCTCCATGCATATTCAAAACACCATGAATGGTGCGTAAAAATTTGCGTCACCAGAATTATAAGTGTTGTTTGCATTCATGTGAAATGCCTGTACCTCTAAAAGAAACAATTATTCTGAACATCAACAAACTAACTTCGTTCTAATAAGCGCCCACTCTCTAATAAGCACCCTTATTGCATAAGCACCCTCGTTCCAACCCAGGGGGTTACTTGGGTTAATTTTTGTTGGGTATGTGCCGCTGGCCTCTCAAAACCCCGACCCCATTATAGTCCATACTGTGGCGATATTATAGACCCCATCTTAGTCACTTTTGGAAAAAAGTAATTTTCGAAATCCCAAGTTAGTGAACCCCAAAATCCTGCAAATGTGCGACCCCGTTCCAGTAACTCTTATAAAAACATAATCCCATAATAGTCAATCCAGTCGTGAAAATGTGACCCAATCCAGCAGCACAAGCCCATTAGCCTACTACTAGGAAGTACCCCACACCCTGGCATTCCAAGCGCCCCAATACCAATAAGCGCCGCTATTCAATCGCCGACTATTGTTCCATCCTATCGTGACAAGGTTGACCCTAATTCACGCAACCCGAGTGAACGGTCGCGAACGCTCTCGATTGTTAAAATCAACAAAGGGCCTACAGCACCAAAGATAGTGCCAAAGTGTATAGGTTTGAATGCCCGGTGCCTGGCAAAACCTGATGCAGCTCCCCCTCTTTATGCTGAGCTTAGTAACAATAACATTGATACTGTATTTCCTCGAATAATAGCCGGGAGCGATGACTATTTTCCTTCCACAAAAAGGAGTCGATTATTTGAGGGGCTGATTATTTAAAATATTGCTCACTGGAGGTCGTGCCCAAAATGTTTTGTTTTATTATTCCATTCAAACCGAAAATTGATAACATCAAATAAACTGGGCTTTTTAAGTGTTCCAAATTTGGTTATTTGATTAATTTTCAATGTCAATATCCTCGGCGTCCGAGCTTGAATTAGTTTTGCTTGATCAGGCTCCACTGCAACTTGAAAGGGAGGGGATAAAAAGAGAGAAGATGGCGAGAGGGGTGGGGGTGGGCGATTATTCGAGGGAGGCGATTTATGGAGGGACGGCTATTATTCGAGGACTGTTTTGTGGGAGACATGGTTGAGTATGACAATCCTGTCACATCTGAATTGCCCAGAGGGCTATGTCATGGTGAGCAAAGATCGAGCTGGCTCGCTGATCGGTGGTGGTGTTACTATGATTTGAAGGAATTGGAAAGGTAAAGCGTTGAATGTCACTGATAGCTTGGAATTTGAGTCCTTAGTTGGAGCCCATGTCGCTTTGTAGACAAGATGACCTCGTATAGCAGACGAAAATTGGCCTTCATAAACAAGCTTCGAACTCCAAAACAAGGGATTGTCAGGATAAGCCATGATCGTACACGTTTGCTAATTCTTGCTCATAAGGTGCCCTGCCCCTGTTTTATGGTTCAAGAGTTTTGCTTCGCAACATAAAAGAAATAGACGCCCTTTTTCGAATAAGCGCCCTCATTTGAGAAACCATAACTATATAAGCGCTTCGGGCGCTAAATCGAGTCATTACGCTAAAGAATTTAATGGCATTGTCTTTTGTTTAAATTATTCAGTAGCTTGTTTCCTCCTCTCTAAGCGTTATGCTTTTGAAGTGGCGCAACGGTTTGGCTGCCTCAGTGATCCTGGAGGCTACGTGCTGGGCAGGTTGGGAAGACACCTGGCCGTCCATGTGGGGGGGGGGGGGGGGGGGGGGGGGGTTAGGCAATTCACTTATACTATTGCCGTGCATGCTGACAGGGAAAACAACAAAAACCAACTTGCAAAACAAACCTAAGTGAAGCTAAGTGTGACTTATAACTTTGTTAAATGGTATAACAAATTTCAGATCAGTTATAGTTTAGATCACGAGAAGTGCTTTCTCAGGCTTAAACACAGCAAACGAAGGCATCTTTCCTAATTTGAAACTTGAACAGCGAGCTTACCGAACAGCTCAAAACTCTTCATCCGTAACGGTCTATTTATTGTTCTGTAACAATAATTTTTTCTATTTAATACAAATTGTGTTCAGCGACAAAACTTCCACAATTATAACATGATAATATTACATCATCCATTAAGTGAAAAATGGCTTTAACACTCTGCGGTTGTGTTTTCACTTAGATAATTTTAGCTAGACAAACCCAGAAAAGTCCAGAAATACAGTTAAAACACCTCGTCTTGTGTTAGGCGAGTTAAACATGCTCACTGTTTTTTCAGCTTTATGACCTAAAAATTACGCAAAAGATGGTATAACTTGTCCTGATAAATACCGCAGCCAATCACGTTACGCGTTGTGACAGACGCCTGCCAAACGACCGGCGAAATGAACATTTTACTAGAGGTTGTAGTGAAGGGCTACCACCAGTGCCCATTTACAATAAGGACGGGTGAATCTTTTTTCCTCGATGAATAAATCGACAATTAATAGGTAAGACTTTTAATTACTAATTCGTGGCCAGTAGTAGCGCAAACGCATCTGAAATCATTATTAAAGGATTGCAATTGACAATCGATAAAACGGATGAAAATTGATAACAATTGATACTCACAACTCTTTCGATCTTCGACATTTATCGATTACCGACACTGTACGAAAATTGGATTCGCACAACTTTACTCGGTGTAAATATGGTGCAAAAAAGTGCAAACTAGGGGGAAATTAAAAGCAAAGATGGTAAATACCGCACTTGCTTGCCAGTTTACGTGCGGGTGTAAATTTTAGGGCAAATGCGGTATTTACCATCTTTGCCCTTTATTTAACCTTAGTTTGCACTTTTTTGCACCAAATTTGCACTGAATAAATTTGGTGTAAATCCAATTTTTCGTGCACATATTGTGTTCAGCGGCCAATCTTCCATAATTATAACATGACAATATTACATCATCCATTAAGTGAAAAATGGCTTTAACACTCTGCGATTGTGTTTTCACTTAGATGATTTTAGCTAGACAAACCCAGAAAAGTCCAGAAATACAGTTAAAACACCTCGTCTTGTGTTAGGCGAGTTAAACATGCTCACTGTTTTTTCAGCTTTATGATCTAAAAATTACGCAAAAGATGGTATAACTTGTCCTGATAAATACCGCAGCCAATCGCGTTACGCGTTGTGACAGACGCCTGCCAAACGACCGGCGAAATGAACATTTTACTAGAGGTTGTAGTGAAGGGCTACCACCAGTGCCCATTTACAATAAGGACGGGTGAATCTTTTTTCCTCGATGAATAAATCGACAATTAATAGGTAAGACTGTTAATTACTAATTCGTAGCCAGTAGTAGCGCAAACGCATCTGAAATCATTATTAAAGGATTGCAATTGACAATCGATAAAACGGATGAAAATTGATAACAATTGATACTCACAACTCTTTCGATCTTCGACATTTATCGATTACCGACACTGCACGAAAATTGGATTCACACAACTTTACTCGGTGTAAATATGGTACAAAAAAGTGCAAACTAGGGGGAAATTAAAAGCAAAGATGGTAAATACCGCATTTGCTTGCCAGTTTACGTGGGGGTGTAAATTTTAGGGCAAATGCGGTATTTACCATCTTTGCCCTTTATTTAACCTTAGTTTGCACTTTTTTGCACCAAATTTGCACTGAATAGATTTGGTGTAAATCCAATTTTTCGTGCACATATTGTGTTCAGCGGCCAATCTTCCATAATTATAACATGACAATATTACTTCATCCATTAAGTGAAAAATAGCTTTAAGACTCTGCGGCTGTGTTTTCACTGAGTAAATTTTAACTAGATAAAGCCAGGAAAGTCCAGAAATACAGTTAAAACACCTCGTCTTGTGTTAGCGAGTTAAACATGCTCACCGTTTTTTCGGCTTTATGACCGAAAAATTACGAAAAGTTAGACAACCACGCGAGATGGTGCAACTTGTCCTGATAAATCAGAATCGCGTTCCGCGTTGTGACAGACGCCTGCCAAATGACCGGCGAAATGAACATTTTATATTACTAGAGGCTGTAGTGAAGGGCTACCACCAGAGCCCATTTACAATAAGGACGGGTGAATCTTTTGTCCTCGATGAATAAATCGACCATTAATAGGTAAGACTTTTAATTACTAATTAGTAGCCAGTGGTAGCGCAAACGTATCTGAAATCATTATTAAAGGATTACAATTGACAATCGATAAAATGGATGAAAATTGATGACATTTGTAAAAATTGATACTCACAATTTTTTCGATCTTCGATATTTATCGATTACCGATATCAATCGCTTAATTAATATCGTTTAAAATCGAATAGAAGCCATTATTTCTACTAAAGAATTTCATCGATTTGGCACGGCGGGTTAAGGTGGCTCGACTGGATTTTTGGGGGTTGATACCTC